TCAACACTAACTGCGGTTACTGAAACCACGCCTTCTTTCTTTGCGTGAACATTTGGGCGGCATTACGCAAATATTTCCACATAGTGAGGTAGATATGTGGGGGCATGTTAGAACGAGCCGTTTTAGGGGGGCGTGGCAGAGTCTTAACTGTGATAAAGAATATCTCTTTGGTTTTGAGACTTTAGTCTTTGCAACTTCAGGGATCTTATCTATGCACAATCAGCTTGTAACACTCCAAAGAGAAAGGAAAACTTGAAATCGCATCATATGACCCCTTTAAAGAGTATTTTTGGACTTTTTTTTTAAGCCAAGATACCAGTCCTCTGTTTGGCTTTTTTATAACGAGAATAGAATAGAATAGAATATATTAAATAAAATAATTTGGGGGAATTAATAGAAATAATGTCAGTGCAAAAAATCTTAGCCATCATGGTTTATTTGATAAAGAATATCTCTTTGGTTTTGAGACTTTAGTCTTTGCAACTTCAGGGATCTTATCTATGCACAATCAGCTTGTAACACTCCAAAGAGAAAGGAAAACTTGAAATCGCATCATATGACCCCTTTAAAGAGTATTTTTGGACTTTTTTTTTAAGCCAAGATACCAGTCCTCTGTTTGGCTTTTTTATAACGAGAATAGAATAGAATATATTAAATAAAATAATTTGGGGGAATTAATAGAAATAATGTCAGTGCGAAAAATCTTAGCCATCATGGTTTACGCAGAATATAATTTCTTGGTATTTCTTTTATATTTTGACTTTGGGGTGAAACATTACCTGGACATTTCTTATTAGAGAGACATGAGGAGAGATCCAGTTTCATGACTAGTAACCGCTGTGGCCTCATTTCTGCATCCCGTTACACCAATGAAGTCTTTGAAACAGCGAGATGGCGTGTGTGTGTGGAAGTGTGAAAGCGTGTGCAGTCGCAGGTAATGTGCCCTATTTTTTTTTAAATCCGACATACTGTGAGGTAACGAGTCACTCTGTCAAATCACGCCATTTCCCTCTGTTCACTCTCCCTTTCCTGCCTTTCATCTCCTTCCACCTCCTCCTCTCAACATCAGAAGCGCTGTGCTCTTTCATTCCGTCAAGCCCGAGACAACCTCACTTGTAATTTTGATGCGTGTCATCGGTCTACCTCACCACATCGCTCCGACTTCTGCTCTCCTCCGGCCATCTTTTACACACTAATGCTGTGAAAGTCTAGAATGCAGTGTTCTACTTTTCCAAAAAAAAAAGAAGTGTGGCACGGAAAAATCCTGCAAGAACGAAAGTGGGTCAAACTCTAATAAACTCCAGACTGTCTTTGACTTGGAATGCGTCCTATTCGAGGAAACTCAAGATGATCACCGAACGCATTTACATCACAGCTTACAAATTCCACAATCGGTGGCAAATAAACAAACAGCCGCTCGCTGACATCACTGTTAAAGGATAAGAATGCGGGAATGGGGGCCGGACACATCTGGACTTGAGTCTGAGATGCTGGTAAATAATAACCTCATGTATAGGAAGCACCACACATAAACACACTCTGAGAGAAGCCGGACGGAACCATTCAACTGTGACACACACTTCTTGTTCGATCGCCTCCCACTAACCTTCTCCTGACTCACTTCCTGTCAGTGTGTATGTGAACGCCCACTCGCGCAGTTGCACGCATGCACACCGGGGTTAGACATGACTGCTCCCATGACGACAGGGAGACAAGGTTGAGCGGCTCACATTCATCGCATAGCAAGATTTTGCAGAGCTGAATTTTTGACTCATGACTGATCATTTAATATAACTAAACACTTTTAGAGAGAAGAACTGCTTGCTGGCAGTCAAACTGAAATAGCCAATGAAGTGAAAGTGGGCGTGGTCTTTGGGATTGGTTGTGGGTGAGTGCGACTTGAGTCATTCACAAGTGTCAGGTATGCTTCATCCACACCACGCTCCCTAAAAATGATCCATCATTAACCAACCCAAAGGATTGAGACAAATATTGAAAACATTAATACTAATACATAATTACAAAGACTTTTTATTTTAAAAAGAAAAAAAACGAAACTAAATGACATGGAAGTATAATATTAATATTTCTCTTTATTTCAATATTTCTTTATTTTCTTTAAAAAATGGTCTTGAATTAAAAATATATAAATAATTATAATAATAAAAGTAATCCTAAAAAGGTTTTGAAAGGGTGAAAAGGTTTACTTAAAATAAAAATATTAACTGAATTTAATTAAATTCTAATTAGGAAATTACAACTGTATTAAAACGAACAACATTCTGCAGTAACTATTTACTTTCTATCTACTAAACTTACTTTATTAATCCTTAAAAAAACTGAAACATTAAACTGTATAGTAAAATTAAAATAATAAACAATTAAATTCAAATGTTAAAAATAAAATGCTACTCAAATAAATAATAATAATAACAATATTAATCATGAATAAATTACACATTTAAAGATTATATTAATATTAAAATTAATGAAATGTAACTCAATTCTAATTAAATACTATTTTACTAAAATTATTAACATTAACATTAATAACAAAAAATTATAATTGTAATAATTGTTGTTAATCCTGAAAAATTAAACATTAAAGGTTTATTAATATTAAAATGATTATATTAACAAATATTAAATGTAATTCTAATTAATGTAATTCTAAAAAATGATTTTTATTCAAATGATTAAAATCTAGTAATAACTCTCTAAAATTACTAAAACTGTTAAATTAAAATAAGAAATGAAATGATATTACAATTATTAAAATGTTTAAATATTACTACAATTCATATCCAATTTTTGTTGTTTTGTCAAGTCCAATGCAATGGATTATTGCTGCACATTATATTGAACAGTCCAAAGATATGCATGATGAAATTTGTCTTTTTAAAGAATCACGTTTAATGCTGAATACTTCTGAATAGGACTTTAAATGAAGGCTCTTCGAAACAGCCTGCAAATGTGTTATGATTGGCCACTCACCGAGACGGCTGCCGTTTCGAGGCATGGCCATGAAGGACCCCAGACTGCCCCCGATGACACTGTGTGGTCGTCGCAGGGGAGGCTTCTTAAAGGAGCCCGTGTACTGGTGCAAAAACGAGTGCATGCTGTGGGAGGAGGGCGGCCGGCCATTCCTCACGATGGGCTCTGAAATAACAACGAGACCACCGTCAATACACACACAAAACATCAGTGCAATTGCATGAATAGATTTATATCCTCATAGGTGCGAAGCAGTCAATACTTCATTAAAAGTATTACTTTACTACATGAGGTTACGCTGAGGTCAAAGAGAATCTACTGCAATAAAAAGTGAAACCGGCAACTTTCTAGAAACCGGTGATGTCTTGACATAATAACCCATATCTTTCACTTTCCATCAAGCTGAGTGATGCTGGGAAGGACAACACCTGCTGTGTTTTTCACTTTTAATCGAAAGACAAGCTAATCATCGCAAAGGTGTTGCTATAGCAACATTTAAACCAATAGGAAAGCAGCTGTTGATACTGGAGCCATTTGAGCCAATCAACACAAGGCATGATAAAGCATCAATCAAACAAACTTAAGTTTTAATCAAAAGGCGAGTTAATGATTAAATAGCTGTTGATATGACAACACATTATTAACCAATAGAACCACTGCTGACACGCGACACCCATGTGCCTTTCAAATAAAATATACACTGCCTAAACTAACTTTAATCAACGACTGTAGAGGTTATATGACCATCGCATTGTGTGTGTGCGCGTGTGTGTGTGTGTGCCAGTCAACCAACCCTTCCTTGAGCTTTCACACACACCCATATACACACGCATGAAAAAAAAACACACACAGCACCGCAGTGGTACTGCATTACATAAGGAGATAAAGAGCTGCTCTCTGGGATGTTGTAATCTAAAAGTCATTCTACCGCAGCATGCTCAGACATACAAACACAAACAGCGAGGCTCTCTGTCTCTAAACAACCCAAGCTAAAATGTCTTTCTTATACAGTATTTAACCCACCGAATGTCCTATTAAATCGCATCCGCCTAGGTCAAATTTGATCCCTGTGTCAAATACTGAAAAGCATTAATATCCTGAACACTTGATAATGGTACCAACAGATCTACAGGCTCCCTAATAGAAAAAGTTTTTTTTTTTTTTTTAACTTGGTTTATTATAAAGAAATGATTGAATATTGAAGTTAAACATGGAGAAAATTTTTTTGTAACTTGTTTATTTCTGTCAGTTTTATTTATAAAGTCTTACATTATAAAGCTGAACTCAAAAAAAAAGAGAAAAGTACTATGTATAAAGGGCTTAATCTAAGATGTATAACAATTTTGGGTTAAATTTGATTTATATATTTACAGGCAATTTAAAATTGCATCACAAAACAAACGGACAGAAAAATAATATTTTTGAGATTTTGCTTTTACAGAGCTTGTTTAAATATTTTTTGACAAACTCAAATTTTAGTTTGCTGTGTTTTTTTTCCGAAAATAAAGACAAAAGAAGGGGTAAAGTCAAAAAGCAACTGTGGCCCCGAACCATTTCACTTCTAACATGACTGAAAAAAAAAACAACAATAATAAAACACTAAAACAAAACCAAAAATAAGAAAAACAAAAGAAAAAAAAACAGGCTTGATTTTGTTCTTTGGGATTTGGAATAAAGGGGTAAAAGTCAAAACGCAGCCGTGTTCACAAACCTTTTTACTTAACATGATTGAAACAAAAGAAAAACTGAAACAAAAGAAAAACCAAAACAACACAAAACAAAAAACAAACCATTTTACTTCTAACATGATTGAAACGAAAGAAAAAACAAAACAAAACAACACAAAACAAACTATTTTACAATTTTTTCACAAACCATTTTACTTCTAAAATGATTGAAATAAAACAAAACAAAACCACAAAACAAAAACAAAACAGGCAGGCTCGATTTTATTCTTTGGGATTTGGTGTTAAGGGGTAAAGTCAAAATGCAGTTGTGTTCACAAACCATTTTACTTCTTCTAACATGACTGAAAATAAGAAAAGACAAACAATACAAAACCAAAACAAAACAAAACCTAACCAAAAACAAATCACAAAACAAAAAACAAAACAGTTAGGTTTGATTTTTTTTCTTTGAGGTCTGACTGCATTGTGAAAACTGGTCTCTTTATTAAGGTCGGAGAGGAACAGGAGGGCTTGATGATGTCAGCAAAAATGGAAAGTCATTTCATAGGCAGAGCGAGTTATTATACTGTGATGAAAGATTACGAAGGCAATAATTTTTTTCTTCACAGTAATGGGTAGATCAATAGACCCAATTCGGATTCCATGTTAAACGTTGTTTGCACACTATGCTTTGATGCCCGAGCATGAAATGCTGATGGTGTCGTATCTTCATTTATTCAGAGAGCTCTCTCTTTTTCACTGTGGTCGCTCTCTCTCTCATATCTTCCCACACCACAGCTGTGTCTCTCATTACAACAGGCCTTTCAACCTGCTTACTAAGGACAATCCAACAAAACACAGGCTCACAAACACGCACACACCTGGCGCAGGTCTGATCCACACGAGCCCATGTGGTAAAGTTCCACTCACGGCCAGCTGCGCACAGGGACTTTATTTCCATACAAGCATCATAGAAACTCTGGAATGTTCCACGTCAACACTCAACAGGTCTGGCCGTGACGATATGTCATGCTGTCAGATGCAGGAAGGTCCTGCCGACAGCACCGGAGGGTGTGCGATTACGTCAAAATAGTGGATTTTGGACAGACGTGCGCTATTTTTCACACTACTGAGAACATATCATTGTCATTTTTTAGTGCATAAGTATATAAAATGTAAACTCTATGCCTATCCTGTCTTGTTGCTAAGCAACAGCGCTCCTGAGGAAAATATTTCACGTCAGCAGAAGCTCTTGGGCCCAAAGCGAGGTTGGGTCTATGGTTGCTGTGCCGAGAGTCTCCGGTGACGGGCTCGTAGGGGTCTTTGTGCAGCACCCTGAATGCCAAAATGAACACAGGCAGACATAAACTCACTCTCTTTCTTCCTTATCGAGATGGAGCATGTCTTCAGAGAGCGTTCGAAATGCAGGGGAACTACGAAGCACAAATAAACACAAAACCACACGCATGACTAAAGAATAAGTTTAGCATGGCAGATGGTGCACATGACTGTCCTGTTCTGGAAGCACCAGACCACAAACATGAAAAACAAAGACTGGCTGAAATTTAAGGAAGCAGTACAGAAAAACAACTGTCCATCTATCCTCTTTTTTAGTATATAGTATCCATGTCTTTCTCGTGGACAAAGGACTAGTTTACACTATAATATTGCTAATTATTAATATACACAAACAAAGATTAACAGCAAGAAATAAAGCATTTTTATACAATAATAAAAACAACAATAATATATTAATATATTATAATATATTATCATAATACACAAACACACACACACACACATACATATTAAATATTTATAAAATAAATATGTTATATATTTTTCAGTTATTAAATATGTTACTGGTTAATTTTTTATTAATGTATATTTTACAATATAAACTAATAATTTAATATAAATTAATTTCATTTAATTAATGTAGAATATAATTTACACAATATATATTGAATTACCTTATAAGTTATAAAAATATAAAAATAAGTTATTAAAAGTGTCACTATGAAAATGTTAACGTTAATTTACAAAATGCAAAAAAATAGTATTTAAAAAAAAAAATCCCAATTACCACAGTTCCTATTACTTTCTATGGGGACAATAAAGGAAAAAAAAATCAACAGATTTGGTCATTTTTTAAAAGAAAACACAAAATGTTTTTTGTGTACTATCTTGCACACATGAACATATAAAAAAAAAAATATCTATATTAAAAAAATCAATCAGGATTTGGCTTCCTCCAAGCTAAACTGTGCCTCCTGCATCTGACATGTTGCTGACTGCATCTACGACAGCTATGTCGTATGCAGCTATGCACATTAAAAAGTTAGATCTTAAAAATTTGATGTGAAACCTGAAAGCAGTGTGTAATTTTCTTCTGAACAGTCTTCAACATTAATGAGACAGAAACGTCCATTCATCTCCTCTCGTTTCCATATTGCATGCATATCTTTCCTGAGGGTAAAGTGAGACTATAAATCAAATGGATCACTCAATGTATAATTAACACAGAACTTTTAAATCTTTAAATTAAATAATGATTCTTTTAGATGTCCCAACAAACCTAATGAAAAATACATCTCCAACATTATTTATTTTAAAATAAAGAATATTTATTTATTTAAACGATTTATTTTACCGATTATTTTACAGCCATCACAGTGCGTAATAGTCCTCTGAACGTTATTCCAGATGGGCTGCAGCGGCTGAGAATTCACCCTGACCGAGATGAAGCCGGCAGAAGTTAGAAACCCTTGCTAATATGTGGATTAAAGGAAAGAGAAGAGAGCGGCAATAGGTTCCTTACGTAATGGCAGGGTCTTCATAAAACATTCATTAGTCTGCCTAAAAAAAATGGCTGGGTCAACAGCACTGCCATTCCCCACATGCAACATACAGACCTAAAAACATCCACACTGTCAATGCGTGTATGCAGAGCTGAGTGGGCATGTTTAGACCGCTGTGCACTCGCACTGGTGAAAGAGTGCAACATTCACGTGTAAATTCTCTGGATGCTAGTGTTAGTGTTTAGGGCATGAGTGAGAGAGGATGTTTTTACTGCTGTCAGACCAATGTCCACACAGTAATAAATGTTACCAGCTGCAATGCATCAGGACATGCAGATAAGGCCATGTTCATCCAGATATAAAGATAAACACATACACAGACTCTGTGCCAACCCTACTAAGCTGTCTCGATATCTACATAGACAGCTAATGTCTAAGGCAGCAAAACAGAATCTTATAAATGACTAAACTGAAATGTTAACACTCGCTAATGGGCACAAATAGGGCTCCTCAAATTAAAGACATGTAAAAACCAGCTATGTTCATGTTTCATTTTGATTTAACCTAGTGGTAGACGAATATATCGCCAATGGCAATATATTGGCCAATATTTGTTAATATTTGTTCATAAATTTAAAATAAAAGATTAATTTTTTTAAGTTCATTTTTTTCCCTCAGATTTTTCCAATTATTTATATAAATGTTATTTTACATAATATTTATATAAATAATTGCATAAATTCAATTTAATTGCCGATATTGGCATCAGCCATAAAAAAAAAAATCAACACTGGTCAACCACTAGTTTAATTTGTGGTAAATAGGTTCCATTGCTAAATATTCTAATAAACAAAACAAAACAAAAAACAGAGAGCATGCACAGAAATTGGGTCATTTTTAATTAGATGAAACGTTTTTTTTTTTTTCAGTACTGAATAATATCTACATGGTCATTTGAGTTTAACCCAATGCATTCTAGGACTGTGTATATTCCAGAAGAATGTGTGCATTTCTACCTATATTTTGGTCAAAGCAAAAGAAATGCAATAACGCAGCATAATTTCGATGCCTACAGTGTGATTTAATGCATCTATAATGCTTAAAAATGCTGCAATTAGTAACTATTTTATGTTTTGGTCAATTAATAAGGGCTAATCTGTATGAATTCGTATGATCTCAGTCGCACGTTTTTTTCGATCTGCTTGCATCCCACTGACGGTTAGGTTTAGGGGCAAAACTGCAAAAACGGCACGTTTTTGCGTGACTCAAATTGTACGAAATCACCTTGTAGTTGCTTCTCCTCATGAGATCAGGTTGGGTTTGATTCAGTTCATTATATAAAGTTCATGCTCAGATGTAAACTGCAAGCTCACCCTAAGCTGAATGTGTCCTATTTCAAGGGTGGTTTTCGATTCAGCATGAAGTTTGAGGCAAAAAGGCTTAAAAACCGTTTCTGAACCCAGTTACCCTACATTCAAGAACATTTTTACCACAGTTCCCACTTGCATTAAAATCCTCCCTCATAGGTGCTCCGAGTCAGGGCCGAAATGGCCATGGTAGTTGAATCTGTGCTTTCGATAAGTGTGGTTACTGTTTTACCAGTCAAGCACTCAATACACCCAGCGGGTGCGCTGGGGATGGAAGGTAAGCGGGATACGCAGTGGAACTCACACCACACTGGTTTCCAGTTTACACAGAGTCTCATTGTACAGTCTGAATCAGTCTGTCTGATTCCAGTCCATCCGTCAGGTTGGCCCGAAGGCAACAGAGCTAATTTAGCCTGTCTCTCACAAGCTGTCACATGCTCCCTTCCTCTCATTCTCCTCACAGGGGTGTCATTGCTGTTACGTAATTACTAGCTAGCTGCACATACAAGAGCGAGGAGAAGAAAAAGCACTTTGTGGAAGAGGACAGGGAGCGTTTTGCTTAGTTTCTTTTCAACTGAAATTGCATTGCTTCAGGCATTTAGGCTGACTAGAAGCATGACAGCAGACTCTTTCACATCAGTCCTGGCTCAGCACTGTTTATGGTCACAAAAATGGCACAGGCTTCAGTTATGACAGATCAGAATGACAGGTTTTCAACGCAGCTTGAAATGGTTGTGTCAGGGTGACTAACGCGAGCTAACGTGGTCAATACAGTGATACAGAAAACAAAATACTCTGGGTGTAAATACTGTAAGCAAAAAGAGAGACAAGGAATATTTTGGGTTCAAACTCAAGTTAAGACATGATGTTACCAAAATAAATGTCGCTCATTTTCTTTAAATAAAACAAAAATCTTGGTTACAGTAAGACACTTACAATGGAATAGAATGGGGTCAATCCAACAGTACCAGTGTTATTTTAGTATCATTGAGATGCTATTATATGAATATATTATATGAATATTAAAATATTTGAATTTATTTTTATAGTTTCGGTTTTCAGGTTAATTTTGGTTAAAGCTTTAAAATTTGTCTATGTGCTTTTGACATTTTTATTACGTTTTGTTGTTTTTAATATGTGTTTATAAAATTTGTATTCGTTTTTTAATTTCAGTTTTATTTTTAGTCATTTTAGTACACCAATTTAAACTAAATAAATGAGAAATGTTGCCTAGGAAACTAGCTGAAATATATATTTTTTTATAAAAAGTTGTATATATTTTATTTCAGTTAACATTAATTTCATTTCAAGTAACCCTGAATAGTACAGACACAAGACAAACAATGTATTAACATGATTTTAAGGTGGGGGGGGACAAAATAAAAAACTTCTTCACTTCTTCAAACCTCACTGTCACGTCAACATAATGTTTAAAAACCTAAAATGACCGTAAAATGAGTGTAAACATTGATTTAAACAGCTTTATGAAACAAAAAAGTATCCCCCAAAAATGGTCGTCATTAACTTCCATTTTAAGTGCCTCAATTTTATTCCCCAAAATGATTCTGTGTTGATAATCATTATGCAATCAGCAAACAGTTGACTGAGCTTAACTTGTACTCCTTTAACATAAAAGAAAATATTAAAAAGGGAGAATAAAGTATCCAAAGGGAATAGAGAAGTGGTAAGAGTTCACAAAAACACAAGCTTGTCATTTCTGTTTTAAACACTCCAGAATGACTTGACAGGTCAAAGTAACTTATATTGAAATGAAACAACTAAGTACACATTCTAAGTTATTTTAAAGGATTTAAATAAATACCCTGGATTTATTCCTGTAAATTTCAAAAAGAAATACAAGGGTCCAGTCACTACCCGAGTGAAAATCTCAGCGGTCAGGCCAAAGCAAACACAAAGCCATCTTTCACATATCTGCAAGAATGCAGAATATTTGTCTTCAAATATTAGTGTAGTGATACACAAGTGTGTTGACATAGCAATATATAAGTGAAATAAAGATGAAAATGTGGAAAAAAGTTAGAACATGAATGTTGAATGCATGCAAAACAGGTTTTCTACACTGCAGTGGTGTGTTACATCATATAATAGACTTTACTCAATTAGGTTTGTTAGAAAATCTAATAATCAGTTTACAGAGGCCCTGTGTCCCGAGTCGTTTTTTTCCGCTCCCGTGGACCTCTTCCAGGTTTCCAGAGCTCTTGTTCCACAAGCTAATCAAAGTGCTAATAAATCAGCCTCTAATCTGAACTACTTAACATTAACAGCGACCCTACACTCACAATATAGACACAGCAAACAATAGGAAAGGTACAGCGCACACACTCACCGCTGTCCTTGCTGCTGTTCTCCTCAATGGTCATCTGTTCCGCCAGCTCCGAGAGCGATTCATCGATCGTCTGGCTACCACGCAGGGTGAGCGACAAACGTCTCTTAAACCTCTTCATCCTCTCCATGGGCCTCTGAGGCAGGGGGGGCCTGCAGGTTTAATTTCAGTTTTATTTTTAGTCATTTTAGTACACCAATTTAAACTAAATAAATGAGAAATGTTGCCTAGGAAACTAGCTGAAATATATATTTTTTTATAAAAAGTTGTATATATTTTATTTCAGTTAACATTAATTTCATTTCAAGTAACCCTGAATAGTACAGACACAAGACAAACAATGTATTAACATGATTTTAAGGTGGGGGGGGACAAAATAAAAAACTTCTTCACTTCTTCAAACCTCACTGTCACGTCAACATAATGTTTAAAAACCTAAAATGACCGTAAAATGAGTGTAAACATTGATTTAAACAGCTTTATGAAACAAAAAAGTATCCCCCAAAAATGGTCGTCATTAACTTCCATTTTAAGTGCCTCAATTTTATTCCCCAAAATGATTCTGTGTTGATAATCATTATGCAATCAGCAAACAGTTGACTGAGCTTAACTTGTACTCCTTTAACATAAAAGAAAATATTAAAAAGGGAGAATAAAGTATCCAAAGGGAATAGAGAAGTGGTAAGAGTTCACAAAAACACAAGCTTGTCATTTCTGTTTTAAACACTCCAGAATGACTTGACAGGTCAAAGTAACTTATATTGAAATGAAACAACTAAGTACACATTCTAAGTTATTTTAAAGGATTTAAATAAATACCCTGGATTTATTCCTGTAAATTTCAAAAAGAAATACAAGGGTCCAGTCACTACCCGAGTGAAAATCTCAGCGGTCAGGCCAAAGCAAACACAAAGCCATCTTTCACATATCTGCAAGAATGCAGAATATTTGTCTTCAAATATTAGTGTAGTGATACACAAGTGTGTTGACATAGCAATATATAAGTGAAATAAAGATGAAAATGTGGAAAAAAGTTAGAACATGAATGTTGAATGCATGCAAAACAGGTTTTCTACACTGCAGTGGTGTGTTACATCATATAATAGACTTTACTCAATTAGGTTTGTTAGAAAATCTAATAATCAGTTTATAGAGGCCCTGTGTCCTGAGTCGTTTTTTTCCGCTCCCGTGGACCTCTTCCAGGTTTCCAGAGCTCTTGTTCCACAAGCTAATCAAAGTGCTAATAAATCAGCCTCTAATCTGAACTACTTAACATTAACAGCGACCCTACACTCACAATATAGACACAGCAAACAATAGGAAAGGTACAGCGCACACACTCACCGCTGTCCTTGCTGCTGTTCTCCTCAATGGTCATCTGTTCCGCCAGCTCCGAGAGCGATTCATCGATCGTCTGGCTACCACGCAGGGTGAGCGACAAACGTCTCTTAAACCTCTTCATCCTCTCCATGGGCCTCTGAGGCAGGGGGGGCCTGCAGGACAGACACACACACACACACACACACACACACACACACACACACACACAGCGTTAATCATCATCGGCCTGCGAATCTCTGCGGGACATGCAGTGTTTGAAGACTTCTTTGCATTAAAAACTGAATTTATTACTTTATTATTAAGTTCTGTGGCATTGTAGGTTGAGCGCACCCTATGGTGTGTGTATTTCGGACTCATTTTTGAGGACAAAGTGACCGACCAAACCAAGAAAAGAACAATATGTTTCATTAATCATGCCTTTTTTCACTTGCACAAATGCAAACAGTTTCAGAGTATTTTGCATTTGCATTTTAGAATTGGTTTAGGCTATGGCATGGAAATTATAATAATGATCTTAAATTAAATTTAAATTAGAATTTTGTGGCTTTCAGTGCATGTCAATTAAAATTTACTGTACTTCTCTTCCAGGAAAACAGACCAAAATACTGATGACTCAACTAGTTCGCACAAGCATATGCCAATAAAATACTAGAAAGAGAACATCCCATCCCCCTGATGCTAGTCTCTGATTAGCAGATTAAAGAAAGAAATGATGGCTTGCTGGTGCATCTTCGGCAGTGATAACCCTCATACTTTCTCATTTACTTTTCCAACCAACAATTGCCGGAATGGATACATTTTAAATGAGATTTGATTGCTTTCAGTGTGGTTTTAAATTAAGAGTCCTTCACTAACTTCCTGTTTCAAAAGGGAAAAATGCTTGTCAAACCATTTCATGGCATCTTAAATATCTACTGACTAATAGGAAGGCCTCATTTAGTGTGTTACTAAGTTCCTGTGGGATAGTTTTTAAACTACACAGCAGGCCTTTAAAACTTGCACGTGACATGCACAAATAATACAAATAAAAAAAAAAAACATTAATAATCCAAAGGCTTTTAATCAAATATTCATGAGACTGTATTTTGTTTTTATAGGCACTTCAACACATGGTTGTGCATTTTCAAAACACACACTCCCACATGCACCATAATTCCCTTTACACCAATGCATTTTCTAAATATAAAATGACAGCAATATGAGACACCGGGTCTATTAACAGTAAAACACATTAAAAAAAACATTTTTAAAAAATGAGTAATGTAAAACAAATACTTGTAATAATTTATGATTGAATGAGGGTTTAAAGTCAAATGTACAAATGAGAATGCTAAAATAAATTTCCGATATTATTTATTCATACATTTATTTATAAATCTTAAAATAATACATTTTAAAACAATCATAAGAATAATTTAAATAGAAATTGTATTAAAAAAAGAGAAAGAAAAAAGATTTTTTGACTGAATGAGAGTTTAAAGGCAAAATTTATCTAAATGTAAAAATAGGACAAATGAAAACACAAAAAAAATATTCAATATTAAAATAATGTATACATTTAAATATATAATACATTTAAAAATAATAAATAATTTAAATAGAAAATGTATGTGTAATAGATAAAAAGTAAATAAATGTAAATGCATGTAAATCAATTGAATAAATAAATATTATATATATATATGTATATATATAATAGTATATATATAATATTTATGTATATATGTATGTATATATGCGTATATGTATGTGTATATATATATATATATATATATATATGCCATCTTAAAATATTAATTTC